CAATAAGGTGATTTCAAACGAAATTTCGATTTTGTGTTTTCAAATAAGAACGTACATGTTTCAGCAACGTTAAAGTGCACGTAAGTGTGAGCGAAATAGAATGGGTGTTGTGTTAAAATATATCATCATACCAATGGACTCAAAACTGTATCAAATCATGCATATTTTTCCAAAACAGTACATTGAGCGCGTCGCCGAACAAAGTGATTTAACGATCTGTTACTGAAACAAAATGAAACACTTGCCGCACTTCGAAACAAAGCGCAACGTAAATAAAATAGTAGCCAACGATTTCATGCTTCATATTGATCCAATAACAGATTGGTGTTTCACTTTGTTCGGCGATTTTTTTGCGTTTCGTATTCATCGGCGAAGAGTCAATACGTTCTTTTTATGCTCACGGGTTCATTTAGAGGCAGCTGTTTGAAAATATTTTGATCATTCACAGATACGCCAATCAAATGAAGTCGGAATTTTGTGAATTCTGGAAATGGCTCGGAAGAGGAGTGTGTGACATCCAGCTTCATGAGGGAAATTTCTGCGATCCGGAAATTGATGATTGTATAAACCGTGCAAATATCATTTTCGTGAACAACAAAGTCTTCAACAAAAGCACCAATTTGTGGTTGAGAAAACGGTTTTTCTCCGTTATAACGACCTTGAAGTTTCCCCGAGAGAGGAGTTATGATAAAACGTAAGTTCAACAAATATTTCTTCTTCTTCCTCATGTAAAAATAAATGGCGGCGTCCACGTCCAATCGAAGTTAAAGAAAGGTGTACGTTGATTTTTACGTTAAAATATTGGCGTGGAATAGAAAAACCTGTAGCAAACAATATATTTCAGAAGGTGACAGTTCGAAGATGATTTCCAACCAAAAATCAGTTGGTTTGAATGCGGTTGTATTGTCTTATAGTCTATAGCGCTTGCTCTTTCCTCACTTGCCGATTGACGTAGAAGGCGTAGAAGAACGACAGAGACAACGTAAGCTGTTTGAGTTAGAGCGTAGCGTATAACGTATAAAGAAAGTCGACTTTAAACAAATACACAGAACAATACAGTCACACAGGTTTGCATGTGTCCTTTTGTGCAGAATGCTTCTCATAACACTGTAGTAAAATTTACAGCTTTTGAAATGAACGATTCTACGCATGAATTTCAGATTTTAGTAGAGGACGAATGTAGTTGAACCACATATTTCGTTTTGATAAGTTGGTGGATTGATATCAAGAACGACCCTTTTTTAACTGTTTATCAGTGATGTTGAAAAAAATGGTCTAAAATGGCCTCTTACGACGTTTTCGTCGTCGACAACTACAATTTTTTCGTCAAAAAAATATGGGTCGCTGAACACTTGAACACCGATTTTCTTGTAAATTTGGTCAAAAATTGACATTTTTTATTTTTATTTTATTAAACACCGCCAAGCTCTGGCTGAATATAATGTGGGTTTTGATTGAGGTTTGGCCGGAAAAGAGTGCAAGACTGTTACATATTTAAGATAATAAACAATTAGTAGCAATAGGTTTCGACAACTATCAGTTCTCGCCTCGTTAAAAACCTGGCTCTTTTCGTACATCATGCGGTATTCACAATAGTAGGAACATGAAAACTAAAACAGTCATACAACCAAGATGGAAGTGCTTGATATTAGTCTGTAGTAAACGGTCCAGGATAACCTTTGGTAAACGTTTCCAAAGGGACAAAGGCTATGTGAAGCGTTAATTGTTACGCGTTAAATTTAAGACTTTGAGACTGCAAAAGTCGTCACTCAATTTATCAGATAGATAAATTGATGAGAAGTTTTACGTCGGTTAAGGCAGATCCATGTTGATTGCAGAGTGCATTGAGTTGACATGGACCATGATTTGAAACGTATGGTAAATAATTCAAAATTGACTTCAAAGATAAGAATATTAACTCGCCAACTCGTGGATGGCTACAACAAAGCACAAAATCAAAAAAATAAAAATTTACAATAAATAAGTGTAAACATCACAGATAAGTATCATCCTTTCAATACACTAAAAGAATGTATGGAAAAAATGCGTCAGTCTTTAATTATTGATTTTGCTGTGTGGTCCGTGTGAGATGAGTTGACTTCCACGTGGGTGTTTGGAACCTGGGACAGCCCCGCTCATGTTTGTTGCAATCAGAAGCAACCAAATGGCACCCGGGCAGTATGCTTTGTCCTTGGGAATTCGTCCGCTTTGGATCATGGATCAGGTTAAACGGCAACATGAAAATCGAAATTTCATCATTAATGTGGGCAGTATCAAGGTGTTCTCGTAGAGAACACATACAAAAATTGAGGTTATTTGGATGAAAAATTGACTAGGCGGCCAGGTAGTCATTTGAGTTTGCAAAGCGATCCAAAAGTGGTGTCCGTCATTTTGCGAACGGATGATGCAAAATTCTTCTTTGAGGTCGCTGCTGTGAACAGTTCCGGCACAATGTTTGCCATTTTGCACATTTGAGGAATTGGAGCTTCGCGCACCAGCTTCATGTGCTTGTCATTGACCCTGAATTGCTCGCTGTGTCTCAATAAACGCCCATCATTAAATGAGACTTTGTCACTAACCGTTGGACAGTTAGCGTTACCGTTGATGATGTCGTAGAAAAAACTCAATGACGCGTTGACACGTCGACGGCGAAGACTAATCATGTTCAAGTTTGACAATCGTTGCTCGTACGGTGTGATTGAGTATTGGTTTTGCACGGATGGGTATTCTCGACGAGCGTACATAGTGAATTGGCGTTGCACGGATTCGATTTTGTCACTGTGGATTTTGTGGAATGGAAGCCATACCATGGCGCAGTAATCGAGGTGAGACTGAACCAATGCAAAATACAGCGACTTTAGTGTGGTAACGTCAGTGATGTCATGGCAAAAGCGCTTGACAAAGCCAAGTGCAGCCGTTGCCTTCGAAGTGACCATGTCAATGTGTTTGGCAAATGATAGTTTTCTGTCAATTAGAACACCCAAGTTCCCAATTTCTTCATAAAAATATCGATCGATTGGAAGATTGATACAAAATCACATTTATGGCATAGAAAACACACTTACAGTGACCTACTAAGGGTCTATATCCACTTAATTTTTGACGTAGAATTGATTTCTAATATCAATTTACACAAGTTTATATGATTTTAGTGTCGAAAAATACGATTGTTTCAAACCAAATGAGCGAATCACACCCATAAGCTTCAGTTCTACGGCTAAATCACCCCATAGATCCAAAAATTTCTGCCTTTACTACCTCTGAACTTCTAGTTTCATCCCTCACAAAGATTTTGAGTACCGAAATGACCAAGTCGTGTGATGTTTTCACATATTTCTGGCCTCATATTCCGTTGCTTCGATTAAACCTCTAAAAAAATCGACATTTCATCGAAAAATCCTCAAATATACACTTTTTATGGTTAGTGTTTTGGCAAAAAGTTATTTTTCCTCGAAAATAATGGGAGACTTCTCTGTCAAAAACTTAGAAAAATGCATATTTGGGGTACCTCCCGAACAAAAGTTACGTTTTTCATGGCAAATTATCATTTTTTGTTCGGGAGGTATCTCAAAAATACACTTTTTGGATGCGTTTCTTGATAAAAAGTTTTTTTTTTAAAGAAATATTGGAAATCTACTCATACAGAAGTACTTAAGAATGATTTGTATATATTGATTGAACGTTTGGGAGCCACCTTCCAAAATGCAATTGATCGTTCAGAATAATTCCGAACAAAGTGTTCGGAATGTGTTGTAGAATACCGGCACAGGTTTTTCTATTCCATGCCAATATTTTAACGGCTGCTTACAAAAACGTATAAAATTGACAATTTCGTCTAATGAAATGACAAAAACGTCTATGACAAAAACATCTAAAAATGTGACAAAATCGTCAATTTTTTTTCAAAAACATGACAAAATCATCTATAATTCTGACAATTTTTTTTATGACAAAATCGTTGTGGAAATTGACAAAATCGTCTATATTCACAATTTCCGAAAAAATGACAAAAACATCTAAAAACCTCCAAAAACGTCTGTGGACAAAACGCGTATTAAAAATGACAAAATCGTCTATATTCACAATTTCCGAAAAAAGTGACAAAATCGTCTAAAAATCTCCAAAAACGTCTATGGACAAAACGCGTATCAAAAATGACAAAATCGTCTATATTCACAATATCTGAAAAAATGACAAAAACATCTAAAAATTTCCCGTGCTTTTCTAGTCGTTCTAAACGATTTTTTCTAGTCGTTTTCACTTTTTTTACACAAACAATTTTTTTCTATCTTAACTTTTTTATTGTGTGGCCAAATTACATATTGTTTAAATGTGCTGAATGACGTCTATTCAAACAATCAGCTTCAGACTCAGTTGCACTCAATTATGCTGAATAGGCTTTAACGTTTTGACATTTTGACAACTTCACACTACGTCCCCAGCGTCTAACTCAGCGTTCTCCAGTTTCTTGCGGGCTAGCTTGCGGGTTGGCTTGTGGGACTTTTCCTTGACATTCAATTCTTCAGTACTTTGTGACGTGTCTTTCTTCTTATGTCTCTTCGGCCGCTTTGGAACTGTAATAAAAAAAGAGAGAAAAATGAAATTAATCAAAATTTTTGAACACCTGGTTCAATATATCGACACATGGTACGGTGAATTGACACTTGATGTTTCGATGTAAATACCTAGGTAAATACTTACTTTTGAACGCAACGTTTTCCAGCTGTTTACCACTTTCCTTCTTAGGCTTCTGTGGCCGCTTTGGAGCTGTAATTAAAAAAGGTAGAAAAATGAAATTAATTAAAAATTTTGAACACCTGGTTCAATTGACCGACACATGGTCTAGCACATGGTATGGTGAATTGACACTTGATATCTAGCTTGATTTATTTCACGTTTCGGTGTAAATACTTACCTTTATGTGCTTCGTAGTCCGTAGACTTGTGTATGTCTATCACATGGCGTTTGAAGGAATAGGTGCCACTTAAAACAGAAGTGCATTTGCATCGGATTTTAGTGTGCACGCGCTTTGGGTGCTTCGGAACAGAATTAACGTTCTGTTCATCTCTCCCCAAAGCCGCGGCTGTGGCCGATGATATTGTAGTGCCATGGATATCGCGGTAATGCTCGGCCAACGTATACGGCTGGCCACAGCTGTTACCACATAAACCACAGTAATATCGCATTACGTTATTACTGTGTTTTTTTGCGTGTTTCGTTAATGCACTTTTAGATAGGAACTTTTTTGGGCATTCCTCACAATGGAAACCGCCTTCATTTTTTTGTTTTTTGTTTTATTTTTTGGCGCCATTTCACTTCAATTATCTAGTAAATTATCTAATCACAACCTATATTATTATTTTATTAGTCAATTTTCTTAATGCACACTTTATTTTCTTTAAATTTAACTTAACACGACACTTAATTATAACATAATGACTGACGCCAAATGACAGCCAACACACTACAACTCAAATTCACCACACGATGTCACCAACTTCAGTTCAGTTGTGTAATGTTCGACACATTGACTGTCAAAATAAATGGTCTTACCGTAGTAAGACGAACTTTTTCGCAGTGGGATCCAAATACTCTCTATATTCAGTGATCTGTTTCACAATCAATCCAAATAATAAATAATAAAATTACAAATAATTTATCAAAACATACAGAACTATTTCAAATGGTTTGATTTAAAATCAGATATTTCAAATGAAAGTCATGTTTGTATTCATTCGTATAAAATTTAGATATCGATGAATAAAAAAATTATTTCTTAATATTAAAATGCCCTTCAAAACTAGTGATATTTAGAAATTATCGCGTCACGGCTTTTGGAAAAATGCTCAAATGTTGGATTAAAATGAATTCAAACGTTTCTTTTAACTTTCATACAAAAGTGGTATTTTCCAAGGGATTTGGAACGAAAATGTAGAAATGATACCAAAGCCGTAGAGAAATAAATATTATGTTATTCAAATAGCACTGTTATTTTATAACAAAGACTGGAGTTTGCGAGATGAAATTTCTGAATCGTATGCGTTTTGCAAGCTTCATGCACAAAAATTCTATTCCAAGTGGAAAAAATATTGCGAGTTGAAAATATCACCGCGAACAATTGCATTTTTGACCCCATTGAGACTTCAGATACGGTCGATTGAACTGGAAATCGATTCTTCATAAAAAATTAAGTGATATATAGTTGCCAATAATCTTTATAAGGTGGTTAGTTTGTGAGCTATGACCGATTTTGTACGCAAAGTGTGACCATTTCGGAAATTTTCAATATTTTCACCTACAAATTCGAATTTGATACTGAAATCATGGGAAAATGATATAATCTTGCTCTCTAATTCTCAATATTTTGATGAAATAATAGCAGTTTGATATGATGAAAACCATGTAGGGGGGCTATTTTAGGTATCTTCCATAGAAAAGTATGAATTTTCAGGGATTTTCAAAGGTTGGCCATAGGCTAGGTTATCCTAGGCTATATCTGAAGTGTGTGAAAATCTAATGGTTTCTAAGTCTAAACAAGCCCAAACTTTTGCCATCACCAGATCTCATTTATCTCGACTGGTCGTTGAGCTATCGTGTTAACAAATTACATTAAAAAATTTGCGTACAACGTACAACGTCAGTCAACAAATCACTTCCAACCAAAGAACATCCCTATTTTTTTTATTCCGAGTAATTTTAAGACGGCCTTGTTTGAATTCATTACATTTATTTGCTGTTGAAATCGTTGTTTGGAAATGTCATTTTGAGCATAGATTGCTTCAGTATTAGCCATTGTTCATTATATATATTTGCTGTTGCGATGGGGCGACCGAGAGGCTCTATGAACAAAAAACGCGGCAGACCAACAATTGCTATGAGAATAAGACGCGCTGAAACTGAAACCAGACGTGTATTAAATGATGGAAGTATAAAACTTGCGGCGAAGTGGAAGACGTTAACGCAATTTAATACGTTGCGAGTTGAAGCAGAGACGATAAGTGAAAAAGTGCGCATTAAAATAAACGAAACGTTGCATTTTTCCAATATTCTGAAACATGCCAATGATGAACGCACGTTTCGTCTCAACCTGCTTGATGTGATTCGAGGCTTCGAGTTATTGACAATTAGTAATAAACTAGATATGGTATCTCGTCGCCGATTTTATGGCTCTTGGGCTCCTGCGGTGATTCCAATTTGGAATATCAGGTCCGATCCTCCACTCAAATATAATCAGCCCCAGGACATGGAAACCGTTTTTGAATCTGAAATTGCGAAAAATATTGTGTTGTACCAAAATTACAACCCATTTATTAAACAGCGACCACGAAAAACAGACACTAACACCGAAGCAAAATCTATGTCAAATGAAACGTTTACAAAAAGATTCATCGCAGCTGCTTCAAAGAAATATAAATTCCCTGCTAAATCTTTCTACTCAAAGGTTTCCAAATAATCACCAGACCCCATGCCACAGAGATGTTTTCAACACGAATTAAATCACAAAAGAAAAAGACATTTGGATTTTATTGGAAGAACTAAGAAGTGCAAAACATTATTTTGAAGTTTTGAAATTAGAAGTTCGTCGATACGAATTAATTGAAATTAAAACAGCTTACAAACAAATATCACTCAAATGCCATCCGGACAAGGCTGGCATTTCCAAACACGCGGACGAGGCGTTTAAAATTGTCAGTAATGCATATAAATTTTTGTTGGATTATCACCAAATGTACGCCTTTTATTTACAAAGTGGTCAAACGGGTGAACCTAAAATCGTACTAAAAAAACCCGAAAATCCTTCTAAAAAATCCGAAAAGCGTACTAAAAAACCCGAAAATCGTTCTAAAAAATCCGAAAAGCGTATTAAAAAACCCGAAAATCGTACTAAAAAACACCGAAAATCGTGCTGAAAAACCCGAAAATCGTACTAAAAAAACCGAAATTCAGACTATTCCACATCTTTTTTATTTCGATCTATTCAAATTAATAATAAATCAATACGTCTTGCATCGTCAACTGTTTTTTCTTCTGTTGAATATGTTGTTCTGACAGCCAAATGTCAAATGTGAGAGAGATTGTCGTTCATTGGAAAAGTTTGATTTGAGAATATTGTTTGAGCTATTTTACTCTGATCAAATATACGAAAAAAACAATGGCTTACTACAGCCAATTGCCGGAAAAGATTCACCGGTGTGAATCGTGTTTCATGCACATACTCGATTCGGAACATTCTTGTGATTATCACCCGGGACGAAAATTGTGTGTAATGCGTACGCCAGTTTATGCAGCGATTCCATTGCCAATGTTCGAGTTGAAAGTCAAGGGTGAAATGTTTCATCTCAATACAAATACTTGGAAATTCGAGCCAATTTTCGATGGAAAAATGCTGCTCAGTCCATCAACCGATGGATTGGTTTGTTTCAAGAAAAAGGATGACTCATTCGTTGCATCGTACGTATCGGCCTCGTTCCATTATTTTTCGATCATCGTTGCATCGTATTCGGAGGATACGTACCGCTTGATGTTTCTTGTTGAGACAACTCCGTATCATGGTCTGAAATTCTACAAATTGGATTCAAATTTGGTGCAAACTCATCAGAACGGTCGAATTGTTCTGCCTTCGGAATACAAATGGAATACGGCGCTAATTTTGGGGGTTGACTCAAAATCACGTTGGATGGATTTTCGCGTGTTTGCTAACACAAGTGGTGACATCGATTGCAAAAACTTCAATGGGTACACAGTCTCTCCATTGATTGGAACACACGAGGTAACTTCATTTTGATTTATTGTTTGTAAATTTGTAAACAATTCATTTCAATTTCAAAATAGGACAATGCTTTGGAGCATCTGGTAAAAGCAGACACAGCTAGGGTGCTGTGCACAATTCTACAATCGGTGAACGATTTACCATCTGACAACGAAGATGGGGCTTATGGAATATCGGTACGAAAAACCCTCTCTTCAAAAGTGAAATTATATAATTTAGTATTTGTTTTTTTTCAATTCTTCTTCAGCATTCCCAATATTCATTGGCTGACACCGATATTTGGTCTTTATACGTTGCATCGAAAAACTATGAAACATTTCCTGTACACGATGTATTGAAACGCGTGCGATTCGATCAAAAACTGTATTATCCTGCTCGAGAAACCGAATTTTGCTTCAACTGTGGCAAACTGGAAAATATGCAGTGTTTTTTCCCGATGTATTTCTCACGCTGTTATCGCTGCCTCGTTATATCTCTGGATGGAAGTGGTCATACATCGCCGTGCACCCCGTTGAATACTATCAGTGATATTCGCAAGGACATTTTGGTGCGCAAACCGATACCGCTATTCAAACTTCGTGTGAAAAAAGTCGATGGCAGTATGCATTACCTCAATAAGGACAACGGTTTGTTTGAGGAGCTCACAGACGGTCAAATCCTGTTGAGTTCTGCGACCGATGGGCTATACTCATTTAAGCGATCGGAAAATTACGGCATTTTGTCGTACGACGCCACAACCTTTCATCGATTCTCATTCATCATCGCTGTCCTTGGCACTGATCTCAATTGGCGGGCTAGATATCGCGGCGTGCTGACAACACCTCACGGCGTTTTGTTGTTCAGACTTCGTTCGACGTTGGGTGAAGAAAATGGCATTTTCGGTGTACCACGTGAATTTAAATTGAACACAACGATCGTTCTCGGTATCAAGCCAGTGCAAAATTCGTTCAAAATGGAATTTCCCATTTTTGCAAATGAAAACGGTTACATGGATGATCAACTCTTCAATGGTTACAGGGGCTTTGCAACGTGGACAGCAGAGGCGACACCGAATGGTTGAGACTACTGTGGAATTGACGAAGAATTAGATGGCCAAAAACAACATCCGAGGCGCCCCTTTGATCGACGCATCAAGCCAGAATCGTCAGAGCCGGTGGCATCATTCCATAGCCAGCGCGGCAAACGCAACTAAATTTTCAATCGTTGCATCGTTTTGAAATCCAATTGTGAGTAAAATACTAATATCGATTTAATAAAGATAATAGTATTTCAGTAAAAAGAAAATAGGTTTACTTTACATTCAAGTTTTTTAAACTTTTACGTACAATTTAAGTCAGAAATGTAAGCAAAACATCTTCTGTTATGAGCAAACGTTTCTTTTTCAACAAATACATTGAAATAAAATTATGAAATGTT